CCCCACCTAGAGGACATAATTTATTATTATTATTATTTTATTGTTTCCACATCTTTTCTGTAACTCTTCCAGGCGTTTGATAACTATGAATATTACATAATAATAATAACTATTAATATTATTATTATTAACGTTAAGACAGATGTTACTATTGCAATTCAACTATAAAAGGACTATTTAAAAACAATTATTTACTTTACAACAGTAAATCAAAACTTCTATAATTTCTACAGTGTAAAAGATTTATAATTTATTATTCAGAGAAGTGTACAAATATATTTTTGTCTTATATCAATTATAAAATATTATAAAATTATAACTTTATAAAAATTATTTAAAAAATCAATCTCTCTGTCCCCGTTTTATTATTACAATAACAATATAAATCATTTACATATCCAATATATTATACTTGATTTATATTTTAAATGACATAAAATATCGTGTACCCATCTGCCTCTTTGTACTGAGTTGTGTTATGTGTATATATAAAACACATACAATTAAAAAGTATTTTTGATGTATTTAAATATATTTCTTAATGTAATAGTATATGAAATTTGATATAAAATGCATTTTAAGTAATTTAAGTAATACACACATTGCACTCACAAAGCGAAAGGTCTACCTGATTCTTGTTAGAAATCAATTCCAGTAGCTTGTACATGACTTTTTAGGATGTTATCAACATCTAATTAAAATGTAAAATGCTGAAAAGTTTTCCAAGACCTCATGGGACACCTGATGTCTTACAATCACTTAATTTCTAAATAAAAGAGGCTAAAAAATGAATATTTACTCTAAAATCAAAAGTGTTTGTTCACCTGTCCTTGGGACCAGGATTCACCTTGCAGGCCTCTAACAGAAAACGCACAACCTCAGTATGTCCTAAAATCAAAAGGAATAGCTTTATTCATACAACACATACTATAGATTTAAGTTTAGATGTAAATCGGCAGTGTATTGAAAAGCAGCATGAAATAAAGATCTGGATAATTTCCCAGCAATATAGTATTTGAGGACTTATATTTATAGTGATTAAACTAGAAATAAAATACATAAATACAAAATATAGCTGCAATAAATATACACATTGTAAATGTGGGCAGCATTGCTATTGCCATTATTTAAAACATTACCACTTTTGACCACCAATTGGCGCTGTTATCAAATTTATGTGGCATTTAAAGCAGCACTATGTAACTTTTTCTGTGTTCAAAATTTGCAAAATGTATATAATGAGCGAGTACATCATGAATTCATCTTCCAAACCGCGTTTTTGTCTTATTCCGAATCACTACGGTACACTTATAATAAGTACTTATATTTGAACTATTGTAGCCTGGTCGGGTCGTCACCGCTGCGGAGTAACACATACCTGCGTGAATCGCCATAGACATAAACTTAGAGAAGTAGCTCCGGTTGGAATGTTCTTCCGCGGGATGTGTGCAGTTCTGTTTATTAACCGCTAGAGCGCCAAAAGTTACATAGTGCTGCTTTAAGGCATAGTGACAATGACATGCACATTTTGAGTCAAAATGCAAAAGCAAAACACAGCATTACTTTCTATCAACTTTTTTGTTATCCTTCAGTTCATCGACTACCAGCCATAAGGCAAACAATCAGATACCAAATGAACAGACACCACTGGTTCTTGGCCCCTAATAAGTGACAAACTAAAGTGTCGGCGTGTGCAATTTTGTACCCTCAGCGGCTGCTATGTGCAGCGCCGTCCTGGAGTCATAGTCCTGCTGCTCCATGTCCACAGAGGACAGTGCAAACCTGCAGTCATGTATAATGAAAACGTTATAGAAGCAGAACAGAAAACGCTTCAAAAACTTGTAGGCAATGAAGAACTCAATACCTTCTGAGAGCAGAAACATCTCCTGTGTAGGCAGCAAAGAGGAGGTTGATGACAGATTTCACCTGGAATGATAGAAAAGAGCCTTTGTGGAATAGAAATAAGTTATTATGGTCAGATGGTGGGCAGAAACGGAGGCCTCCAGAGTGTCCCCTTTAGCTCTAGCAGACAGAAATGAATAGAGAACAGCTGAGAGGAAACACCAAATAGACAATGAAAAATTAAATCAAGTGCATTGAAATATGAACACTTGAATTCAAGGGGTACCTAAATTCAACACTTCTTTCAGGTGGACTGAGTGAAAGGGAAAGGGATCCCCTCCTTCATACAGTTTAAAACTGAAGGTTGCATTTCAAGTCTGCCATATAATGTGTATAGGCTCATATTTGATATTTTATATGGTTCCCACACCTTCTAAGAAAAAAAAAAAGTCCATGACTTTCCCGTTTTTATGTATAGACCTAATGTGGAATGGACAATGAACCATTCAGCTGAAGTTTCACTTTCTTAACTTGTTGGAAGTGAAATTAATATTGCATTTTTTAGCATCAAACAATGAATGGCAGAGCCCATGCAACACACTGTATTAAAGACCCTTGCCTCAGCATCTGATTGTATAAATTAGCAAAGCAGCCATGCAAAAAAACACTCATGCATTTTGCTACGATGCAAAAATGCTGTGTTAAGGCAAGTGCTGGTGAGGGACAGAAAGGCACCACTAGGGGGCATCAGCAACCCTTCATGTTAGTCAGCAAAACCTCAAACTTCAAGACGACATATACACACAACTTACAAAAAAGTGCCCATCTTGTTGCAAAGCCACTCTCTGTAAATTCTATTCGTGCCATTCTTAGTAGTTTTGTACAAAAAAATGGATCATAAACCAACCAAAACCATCAATTCGAATAACAATCAGAAGTTCAAACACAAATATGATCAGTTTTACAACACAAACACTTAGTATTTAACATTAGATAAAAATTTACATTTTACATAAAGATGACAAAAATGAATACATAATGATCATGCATTTAGATTCAGATCTAATGAATGTTTAAATTAAAGTTATTTTCAATACCTCACTGTGCTTATCTTCTGATATGCTGTATTCTTGCTTTCCTTCCCACAAACATTCAGAGTCAGAGAAGTTGTCAGTGTCTTTGGCCCAAAAGATCATCCGAGAAATGTCAGAATTTCCTTGTGTGTGTGTGTGTGTTTAATTACAATCTCTATCAATCTAATTACATCTAAGTCAGTTTAATGTCTTAAATAGAAACACAAAACACTATTCCTGTCTGCTAATGTGTAATTATTCTCCAGAAATGTGCATGTTAATTTCAGATGAAGTCAACTAGAAAACCAAGACAAACTTGCTGGAGTTTAAAACTGCTTGAAGGTCATTCTGAAGGTTATTTACATCTTATGTTGCTTTGAAGGATTTGCTAAGCTGTTTGAGGTGAAGCATGTCATCTGTGTATCAAGTTACACTGTGCTATCAGTACACTGACAACCACTGCTGTATGAATGGACATGTAACATGAGTCAGTGTTTGTGTTCACATGTACAGTTAGAACAGCAGGCTAAATAAAAATCAACATAGTTTTGTGCCAAATGATACTACATGAGAGGAGTAAAACGATGCAAAATAATATAATGATGTAAATATAATATTTATCTCAAAATCAGACATTTGGAATGAAACCGTATTACATCAACACAGCTACAGATTCATTCAATTCATTTAGCTGTGTTTCTAACAAACGATGGATCATAAGGAAAAGCTAGCCAAACACTTATTTTACAATGAAGTACAACAGAAGGCAGCAGAGCTACAATGGATGGCAGTTCCCAGTTCACATATCGTGCAATATTACTGGATGGAGATCAAACACGCTCACAAAAAGCAACTTCTATAGGTGAAAAAATATTTTATATAAATATAATAAAAAGGAACATCTTATAATAATAATAAATAATATCAGGACTTCTCAGTCCTGGGAGAAAAACAAAACTTTAAATAAATAAATCATAATTTTAAAATTCTCTGAAACTTTCATGTTTTCCTTGAACATGGGAATCCTTTCATAGAGATATTTTTTGTTGTTTTTGTGGTTTTCATGCAAGCTGTAGTCAAACAGGCCTTTTTAAGTAAAGCTGTCAATCAAGCAATCAAGAATGTTTTTTGAGACCAATAGTGTCAGAACACAAACTAATAAAATGATGAACATGTTCCTTCATCATTTTCCCACACACACACACACACACACACACACACACACACACACACACACACAGCAACAAAATGTAACACAACTGATTTCAGGTAACAATGAGATTAGATGAAATACATTTATTAATGATACAAAAAAGAAAACCAGAACAAATGACAAAAATACACAATGACAAAACAAGAGAAAACAAACAGAACTGTTATGACAGAGTAAAATCAGATGATAATATATTGTGATGAAGCATTTGACAGCTGTTAGACTCAGGACAGTTCAAGTAACCAGAGTGAGCTGCTTTGTCAAGCCAGACTGTAATGAACTCATACATTGACTGTTAAATCTGTCAGTGAGCACGAAAAACACCTCCACTAAAGCAACACAAAAACAAGACAAAAAAAAAAGATAATACTTAATATCTTCCTGATAAGGGCAGCATCCTTCCACCAATACAACAACTTCAAAAGCTTATCGATGTTTAGTTTGATATAAACCAACATATTTTGAACTATCAATAATGTGCATAAATGTTTCTAGCAATAATATGTGAGAATACACAGACAGAAATGGAACTAAGGGCAGGCGGAAGAATGGAAGGTTTATAACCTGCAGTGATTTCACTGCAAAGGTCTGACAGCAGGCTTCAACTGGCCGCTGAGCAGTACTAGTGCGGCTCTATGATGCAACCACTGCACATTACAACAGTCCTCTCAGGACACGCAGTCACCACGACAAGCAATTCAGTAGCAATGCATCATGACTAATCTAAAAATGAATAACTCCTTTGCAACATGAGGTCCCTTTTAACCTTAACGCTTGGTCGGAATGTGTCCAAAGGGAGCAGGAGAAAGGGAATAGTTCAGCCAAAATGGAAAATACTACTTCACCTTTATGTTGTATGTCATGTTAGGAAGATTTTTGAAGAACCTTCATGCAGCTCTTTTCAATAGAACAAGACTTCATTGTAACCTGTCGACCTTCAAAAAGGATAAAAAAACAACCATGGGGCAGTTGTGGCCTAATGGTTAGAGAGTCAGACTTGTAACAAATGGGCATGGGTTACCATAGTTGGCCACACATCAAGTCACTTATACAAGCAGTCTATATGACTGTATATTCCAAGTCTGCACTATATTCAAATTTTTTTTAAAGTCACGTAATAGCTTTGTGTGAGGAACAGGCTGAATTTTAGACGTTATTCAACGATAATGCAGATACCAAATTTGCACCAAATGCCATTTTCAATAACTTAAATGTTCATCTTTTACCTTATAAAAGTTAGTATATGGCTTCAGAACACTTTAGTTATAGTCAGACGGACAACTTTTATGGTTATTTGAACAAGATTTTGTTTGGAATATGGAAAAACTTGCATGAAAGTTCTTCAAAAATAATTTTTGTGTTCCACAGAAACAACAACAGCAACATACAGGGTTAAAACAACACGAGGGTGAATAAAAAAAAAAAGACTGAATTTTAATTTTTGAGTGAACTTTTGCTTTCGAGTGAAGGTCACCTGTACTTCTTACAAAAAGTTTCAGAAGACGTCCATGTGCTCGTGACATCATCGAGTTAAAGACCTCACAGACGACTCTACATCTGGTAAGACGCGGTTAATTATACTTGACCCCCACATTCAATCGTAGTGCAAAACAGAACCACCTGCAGTCTCTGTTCAGCAGCCAATGCTCAACTTCCACCGAAAAAAACCCCACTTCCTTGTCTATGAGAGAATATAGAGCCTATAAATCACACTGCACCTAAAGTCCATGCAGTCCAAGTTAAGAATAAAGCCCTCCGCTATGCTTTTCAGCGTTAGCACAGATAGATAAACAGAAGCCAAGGCATAAGGACTTAGACCATATCCTCTACCATTGTCATTCATGTTCACAAAGACTGGTGAAGAACCAACATGTGCCCAGAATGAGATTCATTAAAAATAAATAACAGTTAAAGTACATAAATATATACGGTCAAACAGCTCGCCGAGGTCAGTCAGATCCGTTTTAGTTGCCATCTCCGACATTCTCCATCCTATAGACTACAGTAGTGGAGCTGTCCTCATTGCACTCAGTGGGCGAGACTTTTGTCCACACAGTGTCTTTGAGAGCCAGCTCTTTCTGAAGGCTCTCGTAATCCAGTGGTCCGAAGGTGTACTGCTGTGTTGAGCAACACGGAGAACAGATTAGTTTTTAGGGGCCTCCAGGGAAAGTGTGTGACTCACACTGTTCAATATGGTGACGTGTGAACAGATTTCAAAGTCAACAAAAACAGTCACAAAGAAAGCCTTCGTATTCACACAGCCAGGAAAAGGTCACATTTTTCAACATTTTAAAACAACAACAAAAAAACATAGCAGGTCTGTCTTATCACAGAAATTGCACATGCATCTTTTAAGCTGCAGTAGTCTGACTTAAGTCATAATCATTAATAACAGATGACCAGGCCCACACGGAATCAGTGCATGCAGGTTAACAATAATAATAATAATAATAATAATAATAATAATAATAATGATGATAAAATCTTAGATTCAATAATATAATGAATATAAACAACAATAGAAAATTATATTTATTTGCAATAATTAAGATTTATTATTAATAACTATTTTTTTGGAGTATATTTTGGATTAATGAAAAGCTTTTTAATTTCTTTTTCACTTATTTTAATTTGCAACTTATACCTTACTGTAATTTTAAATTTAAATCGGGTCTGTATTCAGGTTTAAACATTTGAGCTAATCTGCTTATTTTTTCAGCTATAGATAAGAGTATGCTCAGCTACGTTTAACACATTTTTACCACGTTTACATCCATTCCACAGATTATCCGAAATGCAGAAAAAGTCTATAGATTCCGTCTGGGCCTTCTGATTACAAATCTGAAAATGCAGACTGAAGCAAGTAAAACAAAGACAGTCTCTTAAGATAAAATGGCATAAAACATGGCAAAACAAGAGATGGCAATCGACATGCAAAAATTAGAATCTCATGCACAGAACTTCGACGATGAATCAACCGCTGCTCTTTACTCGCTGCTTTAACTGTGCTGCTCGATGAAGACAACAGCACAGCAAAAACAGCCGCAAAACCAACTACCCTATTTGGGTTGTAATGTAGCCACCTAACTAGGCATGTAGTGTCAAAATGCTCCTGCAGGGGGCGTGATTGTATAAGGCTGACTGCAGGCCTTATACAAGGCCTTTAGTGGAAATAAACGTCCTCTGCGGTATTCTCAGCTTCGGAGTCTTGAGTAAATTATTACATGCAGTCATTCATATAAGACGTGGTGTAATGCGTCGATGGGGCACATGGGGAGGGCAAGGCTGGCGGGCAAATGGAAGAGGGCACTCACCCGCTGGTCCCCTCCCTCTCGGCGGGGATCGTGCTTCTTGGTGAAGTGCCTCAGGTTGTCATAGTTGTGGAAGTTGAACAAGGACACCAGATCCTACAGCAGGAGAGAAAGCCACAGGAGTCAGTCTCAGAGGTCAAAGGCTCAAGCGCATACACACACTGAATAACTGCGTTGAGTGTCTGAAGGTGGTCTGCTAGTGACAGGACAGTGTGCAGTGCATAGAGAAGTGCCTGCTTTAATTACAGCCCTTTGTACCAGGATGATGCTGAAATGAACCTCCTTCACAATGTCATTAAACTTCTCAGATTCCAGTTTTCAGGTTCGCTTTTGAAGGTGACATTTGTAGGTTTAAAAGTATGTTGTTTTTCAGGACATTATGTGGTATGTGTTAAACCATAGAACAGTACAAGTTACAGTTGCCTTGCCCCATAGACTTCCACTTTAAAAAATATATTTTAATGTGTTTTCAGGGTTAGGAGCAACCAATGTTTTTCTATTAAACATATCTCATTTTTAAGTATATTCAGTTTTTGTATGCTCTTTTTTCTTTCTTTCTTGAGAACAGAAGCATATTAGCATGTCCTACATTTCTGTTTTAGTCTTTCAGCTAAGATAATGTTTTTGTACAAATTAACTATTATTACTACTACTTAATTTATTTTGCTATTATAGTTTATTATGATCATTATTAATTATGAATATTATTATTAGAATTATAAGTTTATTTGTATATTTATGTAACAACAATAATAGTGTTAGCTATTATAGATTATTATAATTATTTTAAACTAGTATTATTATTATTATTATTACTACTAAATTTCATTATTAATCATTATTATTAATATCATATTAATCATCATTAATTATGAATATCATTATTATAGTTTATTTGTATATTTATGTAACAACAACAACAATAATAGTTTATTACAGCTATAATAGTTTATCATTATTTAACAACAACAACAACAATAATATTATTGTCACTGCCATATCGATTTTGTTCTGCTATCAATGGGCAGAAACCCAGAATTAATCTTTTAAAGAATTCTTTTCTTCCTTATTGTGACATGTATCAGGGTGAAATGACTTCTTGAACAAGAAAAAAAAAAGAAAAATCATTTATAGTAAATACTGCAATATTCCATAAAAAAATATTCCATTTTGATTTCATGTTGACTTAAGTTTGTGTAGCGTGCAGTTAAACCAAGAAGCTGACCTTGAAACTCTACTTCACCTTATAAACTATGACTGGAAGGGTTCATACATTCGGGACACTCCCTGAATTTTTTGGGAACTTAGAAAGTGTTGGCAAAAATATCTGAATGTCTAATATTACACCCATTTTCTGTCTGGTGACCCTCTGACTTGCCAGTTGTTACCGTTCTTTTGGCACAGCAACACAGATCACAGAAACAAGGCTTTCAATTACCACCGTGGCTCTGAATTCACCACTGATTATGTGACTGTGAGAGTAGAAATCTGTCAACTGTTCATATAAATGATGCAAAATTCTAGTCATACTTCCCACCCCAGAATTAACTCCACCAATTAGCTCTGGTCCCCTTGCTGGGGTCATCTTGAGTCAGACTATCACCACTAATGAGTCAAAGACATGGATTGTGGCGGCACTGATTTCCTTACGACACACAGGGAGTAATTATAGACTCCTTGACCTTTAACAAGGGTCTGAGAGGCTGTACTGATATTCAAAACCTAATAAGTGCTGGTTCTCAGAGAGACCTAAAATAACACAGACAGATTCTGATCATTTGGCAGGTACTTGATGAGAAGCCCTCACAAGGGGACAGGATCATAGGATCAAAACTACAGTAAACAGAGAAGACAAACTATACATGATAAAAAGCTTACTTGAAAAAACGTTCTGTCCCATTTATTGTATTTATGCCGATATGCAACTAGGGCCAGGTTATACAGGTTAACAAAATACTGAAAATAAAAATAGGAACATATTTTGACAATTTTCCAAATATATTTAAATGTTTCAATGTATTTCACCCTAACTGTAAAATACTTTAGAAATGTAGTTAAAAATGATTTACTATTTTACAATATTTTTAACATTAATAATAAATAACTAAACTGAATCATGTATATGTATCAACATAACAAAACACAGCAATAAATAGCTACAATCCTGGGAAAAATACATTTTTGGGGTGTTTTTTTATGTTCAACAAGGCTGCATTTATTTGTTCAAAAAGAAGTTAAAACAGTAATATTGAAATATTACTGCAATTTAAATGCAACAGTTTTCTATTTAAATTTATTTCTGTGATGGCAAAGTTGAATTTTCAACAGCCATTACGGTCTTCTTCGTTACATGCTCCTTCAGAAATCATTCTATTACGCCAATGTGATGCTCAAGAAACATTTGTTATTATTATCAATGTTGAAAAAGGTTGTGCTGCTTAATATTTTTGTGGAAACTGTGAAATTTGCTTTCTGAATTCTCTAAGGAAAAGAAAGTTCAAAAGAAATGATTTATTTGAAATATAAATATTTTGTAACAATGTAAAATATCTTTAATGTCACTTTTGATCAATTTAATGTGTGGGAAAAAAAATTACTGACCCCAAATATTTGAATAGTAGTGTAATATTTACAATCATATCTTGGTGAACTTTCAAAATGTTTTTTTCCCCAAATTTCCAGTACATCGGTTGAACTTTATAAGAAATGAATTTGTTTATGTGTGTGTAGGTGTCAGCAAACAAGAACATTCACATACCGTGCAGAACTGGATGCCCCGGACACTGTTGCCAAGTTTGTCCAATGGAGGAGACCAGCACATGATGCCCATCACATTGGGCACAACCAGCAGAATAGCACCAGCCACACCTGACTTGGCCGGAAGACCCACCTGAACAAAATAAAAAAATACATTAACACTAAAAAATGATATACAGATAAATATGACAACCATAATTGAAGATGTTGTGTTTGGCTGGAAGATTCTGAGTGGGGCTCACTAAGAATAAATAGTGTGGTTTATTTTCATGTTCTATAATGAGCTTGATTTGCATTTAAGTGAGGTGTGTTTGCCAATAAAAAAAGCAAACCACAGTTATGTTGGAAATAAGCTTGAATAAGCCTGAAATACTGCATGCTAAAGTGGTACAACTATTAAGTGAATTTGACTTTGAATTTGAAAAAAAGTGTACTTTAATTAGCACAAATAATGGACACAAATATTCTCTAAAAAGTGTATGTGGACTTTGAGAGCATACAAATAGGCCTGTCGCAATAATGAATATATCGACTTATTGCGCAATATATGTACATGACCTCAATAATTTTTGGTGACGCAATATATCGCCCATTATATTTACTTAAAAAATAATGTCACCATGTTTTGTACATTCCACTTGCGCCTGTGTCTTTTGCAGCTTCTCGTGCATAACGCGGTGTAGTCATGAGCTGCTAGTTCAAATTTAAAAAATGCTTCTACAAAAAAAATGATTATATATTCAGTGGCATAAAATGGTGTTTAAAATGACAATAATATTGCTTATCACAATTATTTCTGGGGCAATATATCGCACAACAAAAAGTTGTTATCGTGACAGGCCTACATACAAAAACACTTTGGATTTGGATAAAGCAATCAACAATTTAAAAACATTCTTTTTTTATGTTGTTCTGAATTTCTGAAAGCTAGGGAGATCTGATTTATGTAACTTGTATTTGATGTGTTTACACATGTGTGAAACTTACATGGAAGGCGAACTGTCCAGAGAAGTCATACATGCCGCACGAGTGCATGAGGCTGAGGGTGTCTCGCACAGCCTCGGGGCTCAGCACACGCTCGCCTGTGATTGGACAGAAGCCACCGTTGGCCAGTGTGGCAGCCATGACGCTAGCGCTCTCACACGTTACCTCGATTGAGCACAGCTGCACATATGGACGCAAACACAAATAAACACATATGAATAAGAAATATTATTAGGCCAGGATGCCAAACCACAGTTTTTATTTCAACATGCTTCATTTGGCAGCTTTCCTCTTGGATTTTACTGAAAACAACACCCTAAGAATTTGTCCACGTGTGTGTCTGTGTTTGTGTGTAAGAGAAAGCCATCAGCTGCACTATCCCATTACACACTCCGCATGATCTCAGAGGCACATGACAGGAGTCAAGGGACAGTCACCAGACTGAAATCCTGCCATGCTTTTGCCATGTCAAACTAAGCAAGAGCCATTCATGTCAGCATATCAACTTTTTATGATCTCCAATAACCATTCAGTTGTAGTGTATTGACAGTGATTTACAGATTTCTGATTCTGATTTGCAAGGTCTTGCTTTGATTCCAATTTTGATGTGATTTCTTTATATATCGACTCATTTGGTAATATACTACCATTCGAAAGTTTAAAGTTTCATTTTTTTTAAGAATTTTTTTTTTTTCAGCAAGGATGCATTGAATTGATAAAAAGTGAAAGTGAAACATTTATAATTTTTTTTAAAATTTGAAATTCAATTTCAAATAAAAGTTATTCTTTAGAACTTTTAATTCATCAAAGAATCCTGAAAAAAAGTTTCAGTAAAAATATTAAGCAGATTTCAACATTGATAAGAGTCACCAAATCAGCATAATAGAATGATTACTGATTGGAGTAATGGCTGCTGAAAATTCAGCTTTGCCATAACTGGAATAAATTACATTTAAATAAATTAAACATTAACATTTTAAAATAGATTAAATAATTTAAATAGTTTTTAAAATAATATAATTTTACATATTGTATTTATAAAATATATATTTAAACTGCAATATTATTTCACAATATTACAATTTTATTGTGTTTTTGATCAAATGAATGCATAAAAAAAAAACATATTTAAAAAAACAATTTACTAACCCCAAACTTTAGAATGGTAGTGCATATCAGTTACAATATCAACATTTCAGAAGGCAACCCCAAAATGCATTGCAACAAGCTCATAACTTTTGTTTCAATCTGACAGTAACTCAGAAAATGGAAGGCATCTCTGTACGCACCTGAAAGTACAAGTCCAGAACAGCAGTCATGTCTGTACCATTTGGAAAGCACTGCGTACAAGAGAAACAAGAACAGATCAAAAGAAAGAAACACTCTTTTTTCCCTCTTCCACTGCCTGCATCTCATGTTTTTCAACGGCTCCCAAAAAACCAATGCAAATTACAGCAAATAAAATGTGAAGGGTATATGTGAAGAGAAACAGAGAGATGACTGGGAGCAATAAATCACTTAATCACATCAAAAGCTCCCTGAGATATTAACCTTCTTTTCTTTCAGGTAGTAGCCAATAGCGAAATTCCTGTCTCCTGACTCGCGCTCCGACTGGAATCTAGATCAGTTGACATAAATAATCAGTTGCCTTAATCGAACCCAACAACACAAATCATGCATAACATAAAATCAGATACTGAATGTACTGAAGACGTCAGGACTATATATTTTGACTGTTTGCCAACTGTATCTATGATCAAATCTACAGAACTGGTAGCTTAACATACGTGGCATTGCTGAAACCAACATATTCATTTCCAGCCATCTTCTTCAAGAAGTTCAACACCTGCAAGACAGAAATCAGAACAGGTAAATCAAACTCAAAAACAACAGCTTCTCTGAAAAAATGTTATCGTAATCTTTTGATAAATGACTTACATAGTCAAACTTCTCAGCATTGCCTGCACCTTGCTTTAAGACACAGGAAAGAAATAAAAGACATAAATATTCTGTCCTTCTAACAATAAAATAGATAAAAACACATTTTTAAAAGTAGCATCATGGGGGGGGGGGATCATTACAGTAACTAACTCATACGGATTAGCAGTAAGGAAATGGATAATTGAATTCCTTTCAATTCAATTAGTGTGTGTGCACTTTGGCTGGGTTAAATGCAGAGCACTAATTCCAAGTATGGGTCACCATACTTGGCCACATGTCACTTTCACTCACTTCACTTAATATTACCAGTACAATGCTAAAATCATCAGTTAGTAATCTGTTGTTAGAAATCAATGAGAAGATCAAAATCATTTCGTATGTGTACTACAGTAAAGTACTGTTATGCTCTACAAAGGAAATTATGATGAACCGCTACAGAGCAAAGACTGGAGTTAAATGTGTACATGAAGACCTGTAGGCCAAACAGAGAAGTGGGTGAAAAAACAGAGTGGATGTGAATCAGCAGGGTTGGTAACGTCTTAAGATGATGTGTGAGGAGGATCTGTGCATTGTGTGTTGATGCGTTTCTGAGTGAGTGTGGATCAGTGTCCATTAACTTACAACATTCTGCCAGACTGAGTGTGGCTTGAGGCACCCATCATATTAATCCAAAGAGCTAAGAGCCATTGAGCTTAATTGCATTATTGCAATAAATCAACAGTGACTAATGTGTTTGACTGTCTGATAGACTGCTGAACATCAGGGGTGTAAAGTACTCAAATAATTGCACTTAATTACTATATTTATGTATTATTTTGGGAAAACTGTATTCTTACCTAATTACATTTCCAAAGAGGAAAAAGGAACTAAATGCATTAAACCTTGACAATACATTTGTTGCATGTATAAACACTATCATTCAAAAGTTTGGGTGTGATTTTTTGTTGTTGTTGAAAGAAAGTAATGCTTTCATTCAGAAAGGATAGATTAAACTGATCAAAACCTACAGTAAAGACTTTCACGCTGTCACTAAATAATTATTTCAATTAAATGCAGGATTTTATTTTTATTTACGGTTTCCACAGAAATATTAGGCAGCACTTTTCAACAAACAAAACTCTTTTCTACACTGATAATAATAAAAAATGTTTCTTAAGCACTGAATCAGCATATTAAAGGGATAGTTCACCCAAAAATGAAAATTTGATGTTTATTTGCTTACCCCCAGGGCATCCAAGATGTAGGTGACTTTGTTTCTTCAGTAGAACACATATGATGATTTTTAACTCCAGCCATTGCAGTCTATCAGTCGTATAATGCATGGCAATAGTAACAAAATCCATGAGAGTAAAAAAAACATGCAGATAAACATCAAATTTTCATTTTTGGGTGAACTATCCCTTTAAAAAGATTTCTGAAGGATCATGTGACACTGAAAACTGGAAATGTAATGGCTGCTGAAAATTCAGCATGGACACTTTGACCTAGGGCTGCTCGAATATTGCAAAAATCATAATCTCGATTATATTGGTCAATATTGTAATCATGATTATTTAACACGATTATGAGTGGGCCAAATGACCAAAACTTTATATGAGTGATTTATTTAAAGATAGCTATATATATATTATATCAAATATATATTTTCTGTAAATAAGGTTGCTATTACATCTATATTTTAGATACCAGCAACATTTCACAATTCTAAATACCACAGCTGTATACTAGGGTAACTCATACAAGTAAAAAAAAGAAAAGTTCTCAATTATTTGAAAGATAATTAAACAGTCACAATATAATACAATAAAAAAAGCAGAGGACAAATATAATAAAAAAGGTAAAAAAAATGAAACATACAGTGCTTAAATTTTTTTATGCAAGTCTAAAGTATTGCTGACAACCTATTACAGATATTGAATAATCGAATATAAAATAAAACGGCAGTCTTCACTGTAAGAATTAAACTTCCTTTGTTTCTTATTAAAGCTACAAAAGTTATTCAGTCAAATGATTTTTGATGAGTGATTTTCTGTGATTGTCTTTTGTTGTTTGATTAATATTAAGCACACAGTCGGCAGCAGGAATATTAGCCAGTCATTCTCAACTGATTAAAACATAGCATAACCGACGAGAGTTTATGTGAATAATCACCAAGCACCACATTTTGACACAGTTTTGCATGTATTTGACCGTTTAGGTGCGCACCTTAAGCTAAAAGTTGACTTTACAAGTCTGTGTTCTGTTCTGTGTCGGAGCGCATCCTCAGAAATCTTTGACCTAAAGCAATTAAGTAACTATTTTTGATCACTGTTGAACTTCATTTGAGTCCATTTACAAGTGCTGCTAATTTTAAAAGTTTAGCAATTTAACAAAAGGTTCAGTACAATACACATGTATTGCTCCTTTTTTACAAAATACATTGTTTCAAAGCACTTCCACATAAAAAAAGAAGTAAAATAATACAAATATAAATAACAGAAAACAAGCAGTAAGTCTTTAGGCATTACAAAGACAGAACACTAAGAAAACTGAATTAAATGAGTTCTTTCTTATTGGATTCTTTATTCTATTCTATTCTATTAATACTAAATTAAAAGTCATAGTACCCATAACTGAACGCATACACAATTTCTCTGTACATTTTACACCCCTGCTGAACATTATTTTTTACAAGGTGTATAAAAAGCCCCTGAATGTATTGCAAACCCAGTTTACTTCAGAAACCCACAAAGGCCATGCATCAATATTTTTGTGTTGAGATCTTAGGAAAAAATGCAGATTAAAATAACACACGGTCTCTATAGGCTTCCATAGTTTCCAGCACTAAAGACCATTTTGTCCTGCACAGATGCTCTATTATATGCAGTCGCCACCTTATTAAGGAACACAATGGCACTACTGATATTTTAGTATCCAGGCTTGTTCATGGGGAGGGAGGAAAAATGGAAAGGAAAAATTACCAACGTCATTGACCTGCAGCAGTGGTCAAAAAATCCCACAGATCCTACGTCTGCAAAATATGCAACAACATAAAACAGCACACAGAGCCTTCAACAGCATATCACACGCTTTTAGTACACGCTCATGGCGGTGCTCAAGGACTCGGAAGGATAGGGAGGAAATGCAGTCATGCTTTTATTAGGTGCAAAGGAAACCGAGCGTCACACGAATATCATTCACAGGAGAACAATATGAGAAGAGCAATCACAATGGTTGATTTTAGGTGTGATGGGAGATGTGAGGTTGAACTTCACAGCTGCATTGTTCACAGGATGCCGAACATTGATCACGCAGAGTGACGAAGCATCCTTTTAATGTGTGGATTGGTGCTGGGTTAAAATTAATTCTAGGGCTGTCAATTGACTTTTTAATCAAATGAATTACATGGTTTGCAACAAATTGATAAATTGCAAATTTGCTGAGAAAAGCCCCCAAAAGAAGACAACTAAAAGATTTTACAGATCAAAGTATTGATTAGACTTTAGAAAAATTGCCTTTAGACATCAATATGCGCTCCCTTTTGCAGTCGAGTTTGTCATTCTCTTCAAGGTAGACTTCAAGGTAGTTTTGTTCATCCACAGTGTTTTTCTATGTAAACAGGCACTAGATATGCATCAGTGACGGTTGCAATGTCAAGACGAAAGTAGTTCATCTTTATATGATTGATTGCAATAAAATTACATGTTAAATTGCCAGCCCTAATGAATGCATAAACTTATGAACTGTTTTTCTTATGTGAGCTTGCCAAAGCAGAGGATGACGATACTTTCTATTTCCTAGAAATGTGTATGTGCGTTTGTAAGTGTGTTTTGTTTAGAAATGATCACTCTGCATAAAACGCACACATGCATACTGTATGCAAGGGCTTAAGTGGTAGTCCAAAATGCAGCGGCTAGAGTCCTTACCAGGCTTTAACTGAAAAATTAGTGTTTACTATTGTCATTTTGCATTATTGACACACTATTTTCCTAATTAATGCTGTTCAGTTGCTTTGACACAATCTGTATTGTTAAAAGCGCTATATAAATAAAGGTGACTTGACTTGACTTGAACTGTGAGCATATAGTACAGTGTTAACTTTACATAAGGCAATAAGAACCTTTGAATCTACAACATCTACATTACAAAACCATTAACCCAGCTGGAGTGTTTTTCTTGTCTTGTGTGTTTGCACATGGATCAAAACAGATAAAAGACCGAGATGCATTTGCTGTTACACACAAACACAACCAAAAGGTGCAAACAACTCCAAGAAATACCAGCCAGTCTTCATAAATACTCATAGAAAATACTCTAAATATATAATATGATGCATTTTATGGTCTATGGAGAATTTTTTTTAATAAGGCACAAGTAGGGCTGGGCGATATAACCAATATTCACAACATATTTGCAATGATTTTTCCTGTGATGTAAAATCAAGCAACACTGTGAGTATCTTGAATATCATATTGATTTTAACGCAAAGTTTCCTAAAAATGTTTAATAGCCTCTTAAGTACTAAAAATGATATTGGACATGGTAAGTTTGATTCATTTCCACAAATCAGCTGATCCCAAACTTTTGATCGGTAGTGTATAGATAGATAGATAGATAGATAGATAGATCAAATTAAAATCAAATAAAAAGAATATTCATAAAAATATAATATATTTTGTTACATATTTACCAGAAAAATACAAACAATAAATAAATAACTGTGGGCCTAATTAACACTCAGAGAGGCACTGAAATGAAATTTTTAAATAGTTTTTATGCAATTTTTGTATAAACCATTTATTTATTTTGTTTTATCACCCAGCCCAAGTCACAAGAGAGGGTGGAAAAAATGTGGAGAATAGAAAGTCTGAATTAATTTGACTTAAAATTCATTGCAAACAGACTTCTAACAATAATGGTCCTGAAAACGGGATGAAATCCACACATTTTTGTTTGCAATGAGAGTGGAGGCCTTGAGTAGGTGTACTGTGTGCAGTAATAAAACAGAGAAAAGACAAGAAGCACCTAGAAAATACACTGATGGTCAATTGGTCTTAGTCTAGGCAGCACTGATCACAATCATTTGATCAAAATACAACTACAGCCAAAACTTCTTAAAATGTGATTACTGCAAGTGTCCCAAACAACAATCTTCAATATCATAATCTGTTCTGGCTAATTCAAATAGAAAAATGTGAGTAAAGTTAGGAGGAGTAGTCAAAAACAACTTCTAAATAGAAAATGAAATAAAAACAAGTGGCAGATGCTTACCTTAATAAGAGAGGTACACACGATTGCACCAGCATTCACCATTGGATTATGGGGTTTATCTGTGGGAAAATATAACTTCTTGTGTTCTTTGTTTTGATTTTTAGGTTGCATAATTAAAAGGACACATTATGATCAAATTTTAAGGCAAATGCTGAAACCGTTTTCTGATTGTAGAAGAGAGCAGTCATGCTGAAGCTAATGGTTATAATCCTTACCGTCCTCATTCAGGAAGAGCTTGTTGAAGCGTAAGCCACTGGGCTCTTTCCCAATTAATTGGTGCACATATTCAGTGCCGTGGTCATGCACTGCAATAGCATACTTGAGTGGCTTCACGCACGACTGCAGACAAAATGGCACTTTAGTGTCACCCACTGTGTGTCTGTGCAAAGAGTAAACAGAGATCAGAACCAGAGACATCATCCTATGGTCCATATAAGCAAACAAACATAAGAATGATTTTAAAGCTGAACCTAACAGCCACACTGTGACTCTAACATGATATGAAGATGTTTAAAAATACTGAAAAAAAAAAAAGACATGGGCCTGATTGAAATTTGATATATTTTCTTGCTTTCTCCAATTGCTCTGACCTTTCTAAACAGCTCTTTTCACACTCTATATAAAGTCTCGTTAGGAAAAATTTTCAATAATTATGTACGATTAAAGCTACTGTTGTGTGAGTTACATAAATTTGTAGAGCCCGACCGATATATCGTTTTGCCGATATTATCGGTACCAGTCAAATGTTTGGACACACGAATGGGAAAGTGTCCAAACTTTTGACTGGTACTGTACTATAATATACACAAAGAATATCGGCCGATATATCGGTATCTGCCTTTTTTTTTACTCCCTAATATCGGTATCGGCCCCAAAAAACCCATATCGGTCGGGCTCTATAAATTTGTACATATTTTTTTCTGCAACATTCAAAAATGTCTAATTTATATAAAAATGAACATAAATACAATATATTTCTAAATATTATAAATAAATAATTAATTATTTGCAATAAATAATAGTTAGCAGTTGGGTCAATGGGCAGTGCTTTTTTAGTTGTTGTGAGATTTAAATTATGATTTTGCTTTAACAATACATTTCAAAGTATGAGCTGTTGTATGCAGTTTTCTACTTTTCAAATGTAGTAAATAAATAGATAAATGAAATAGAAAATAAAATAAGTAAACAGATAAAAGGATTCTTTAATAACTTTAAACAACTGTTGCATATTTGCTAAAATGTAACTCTCAGAGTTAAATTAAGTTAATCAGGCATTTTGTGTAAAGGCATGAATAGAACAAAGTAAAACGACAGATTTTATTCCATCAATTTTTGTCAATAGGTCAAGGCTCTGGCACAGTGTTGTTGACCAAAAGAGCTAGTTACTGTGTAACTGGTGAATGAACATAGTAATCAACACAGAAGTATGTAGGCACCCATGTATCTTTACAACAAATCCTATATAGCACGGGGTAAAAATACGCAGATTATATCTTAGCATGTCCTAATTATCAGAGATCAAAGGATGTACCATGACACATGGGTCTAAGTGTTGAGGGAATATTAATGACTGTGAGTTTATAGTCCTGTTATCAATAATTCTCAAATGAGAGGATTAACATTTGCACATTTTATCTGCGCTGGGCGATGATGAGTGACTTATGATGATGACTTATCTGAATGATAAGATTAGCTGCCACTTTATCTGATGGTTTTAGAACCAAAATATGTTAAGCATTTCCGGTACTTGTCATAATGTACATAGTAATGTACATTCAATTCAAGTGGTCTGGTTAATAAGTACCCAAAGTGATAATCAAAGGTTGTTGAAATATGAAAAATGTAACACTCTGACACCAAGCTAAAACTTTTTAAGCAACAAATGCAGTGAAACTAGTCATAGACGGTTAAAAAAAGTTCCTCTCAATAGATGAAGCTAAACTAAGCTAAATCTCAAGCTAAAATAAGTAGTTGTCAGTAGATGAAGGTGTATGATTCATACCTTTGTCCATCTACTGTGCAAAGGGAAACGGCCCACAGATCTGGGCTGAATTTGGCAAGTTGGGGAATGTAGTCAGCAACCTGTAAGCAAAAGAAAAAAGTGATCAGAAACAAAGGCTGTCAAGTTGAAAAGAATCCCTAAGAGTTATTATTTGTGTTTCTCTCATCTTACCAGCCCCCCGGAGAGCTTTCTGGCCTTTTCATAAAGTGTATCGATGTGGGAAGCAAAAGGCTGGAAATCAGGGATGACAAATTTCTTCCGGAAGGCCTGTGTTAGGAGAACAATGTTGCTCTGGACACACCTGGAGAAACAAAGAGGACAGAACTGAAGAAATAAAACCTACCAGTGGGTTGCTCATCGTTTCTGGTAGAAAGTATGTGTTTGTGTCTATTTGTGTATAAATACTCAGGAAAATATTAATATGACAAATATCAGAGGTAAAAGTTACTTAAATGAGACATAATTTCCCTATTAGCTTGACTATATGAATTATAAAAATTACATAAATTAAATAAATTGGCTCAATCCTGTTGATTGGTTGTAAATAGTGTAGCGAATCAGCTCATGGGGAAATATGAATAATTAATCAGAATTAATTAGTAGAAAAGTCCATTTCTACTGTGCATTGTGCCTCTTGCTATGGAACATGCAGTGATTTTCCCTACTTACATTCCTGTGGGTCATAAAACCAGTGGTATCAGCATTAGTTGCCATGGGGACCAGGGGGGCCTGATGTCGTTGCAGACATCCTGGCACCCAGTTTATTGGGTGAGGGGACTGTGACGATTTGTTAATCTAATGAATAACTGATATGTTAAATGAAATGAAAAATTGTGTTTTTGATTGGTCCAGACGCTACAATAGTTTTTAAAAAGTGGGCATTGTAGGGTGAAAAGTGTTTAAAATGCAACACTTTTGTATTTTGTATTTTGTATTTATTGCAGCCCTCAAGAATCAATTCAACACGCATAAATACAGAAACACACATTTAATTCTCTTGAAACAATCATTTACTCTCCTTCCTCAAGAACCTACCTGTTTATTTCCACATTGATTAAAAGGTAAAAGAGCAACAGGCTGGATCTGTTCAAATGAACATTTCCCACAGAAAAATGAAAGATTTTTTTTGTAAAATATCAAAACATCTATGGTGTGAGAGAGGAAGCCATGGCTGATTTCACAGAGCCAGGTTATTCACTTCCACTAAAGCAGAGGGAAGCAAAGTATCCACAGGCATCATAAACACAGACCTCTCCAGTGATTGTGTCTGAAATATTGGTCCAGTTGCTTCACCAAGGTCCCTGAATGGGACAGACACGCTCAAAATAACTGTGCACAGTGCTGCTGTTTACAGATTTATGTGGATGTGAATTTTCAAAAGGTAATATATTACTTGCTATCTGAAGGGCATGGAAGCTAAAGAGGAGCCCATATGTTTGGAATAGCATACTACTATTTCTGCAGTTGTGTATACTATGTATATGTGCTGCATGCAAAAAAAAAAATTTATGCATAGAATACCTGAATGACTTTTGCAAAAATGTGCACTGCACAGCAGAGCACACTGCAGTAGGCACTATATCACACTGCAATCAACCAGACTTGACATTTTTTCATGTCCAAAGCAAAAGTAAAAGAGCACATATTTTGAATATATTTTTCTCAATTCATTATTTGATTGGACAAACATTTTAGATTTCAAAATGTGAAATCATCTATTTTTGATTGAACACCACACACCAAATTAAACAATTACTGGAAATTGAGTTTACATCTCACAATTCTTACTGATTTCTGAGTTTTCATCTTGCAATTGTTTTTTTTTTTTGGCCACAAAATTAAAAATTAAAAAGGTCATTTTGACTTTCACACAGTTCTGAGTTTTCTTCTTGCAATTGCGAGTATATATCTCACAATTCAGACTTGAAAAAAGTCAGAATTGTGACATAAAAAGTCACAATTAACTTATTTACGTTTTGTATCCCATGGCAGAAAGTTGGAAACAAGCTTCCATTAATTAGTCTTAATCTCGTGAGTGAACATCATTTTCATCATGTGTCGAAAGTGCTGTTTAATTGTTTAATTCTTTGTTTAAAATGGTTAAATGAGGGAGAAATGCAACTTTAAGTAGAACACTAATATTCAGTTCCAAACATCTCATTATGGCTCTGTCATGCAAGATCACTCACTGCCATAATCTATCAAGCCTCTACAAGCTGACACTACTGCACTCATCTCTTCAGTCTGTAATGAAGCTATCAGTGCCAGCCGGATCGACCGGGCAGTAAACACAGCACCAACAGCAGAGAAGCTGAAAAACAGACATCTATCAGGCTGGTTTACGCCAGAGGCAGGTATTATGGATGACGTCTAAGGAGTGACACACAGCTAGAGGGAGCAGACTGTCAAGGTTTGCTCATAAATAAGATGCAGAGTGCAGTCCACCAATCAACTTCTATACAATGTATAATATAAACAATCATATATGTGTAGTATCTAAATGTGTATGAGAAAGTGCACATTTCTTCTCTCTTCTTAACTGCAGGGAATTATTTTAGCTGACAGACTAAGAATTTCTCACCTTGATTTACCATGGTAATTGCCTTTGGGCTAATTATGGGTATAGGAATAATAGTTGCAGCTCTGCAGTACACAGTTTGTAGCATACATACTTTATGATATGTATATTTTATGGATGCATGGAATATCTAGATGACCATCCACATTTACAGATGTGCAGTATACAACTGTAAACACTGCACATAATGTTGTATTTCAATGCAACGAGCTTGAATTAATTTGACTTCTTTGACTTCTAAACCTTCTTAACAATCTATCTGATGATCAACCAGGTTTACAAGAAAAAAATACTGGTTTACCAACATTTTTTGCTTTTATTTCAATTTTTTCCAAACGTCACCAGCTAGAATCAGTTCAGTTTAAGAGTTTGTGGTCAGTAAGATTTTCATTATTTTAGATTTTATTCAGAAGGATGCATTAATTAGACCGTAAAGACATTTATAATGTAAAAAAAAATGCAATTATTTTATATAAATGCTGTACTTTTCTATTCAGCAAAGAATCCTGAAAAATGTATCATGGTTTCCACTAATATATTAAGCAGCACAACTGTTTTCAACATTTAATAATAAGAAATGTTTCTTGAGCACCAATCAGCATATTAAAATGACTTCTGAAGGATCATGTGACACTGAAGACTAGATTAATGGCTGCTGAATATTCAGCTTTGCATCACAGAAATAAATTACATTTTAAAATGTATTAAAATAGACTGCAGTTGTTTTAAATTGCAATAATTTTTATACAATTCTTTTTACTGTATGATCAAACAAATGCAACCTTGGTAAGCATAAGAGACTTCTTTCAAATACGTTTTACCCCAAATTTTTGAACTGTAGCGTACACACATCTCGTTGCTCCATGCCATTTTTTAAATTTTACTAATCATTCTAGGCCTGGAAAACAACACCGCCTTCATATTTTCCGGTTTTTCATGACTGAAGAAACCATGAATATGCTACAGCACATTAAAAACAGTGTCAGCTTACTTTTTGAACAGGTGCCGGTCCAGCATTACGCCATCTGACGTGGATTTGAGGGTGACTTTCAACATGTCCATACATTCTTTCAGCCGTGGATCTCCTGTTCGAAGTCCAGTGGCCTTCAGTGCCTGAATGCATACATAAACAAGAGATTTCCATGAGCACAAATAAGAGTTAACAGCTAACTGTCGATGGCCTTACTCATTACTATCATCAATCACAACACTCTTATCAGGGGATTTTACTTCCTTTGTCGGTGAGGTTTGATAAGATAGTCTTAGTGTAATAAAACATGGCTCTGTGCCCCATTTAGTGGTGCTGATAACAGCAACAACACAGCAGTAATTGCACACGCTGACCCTTCGGTCATACTATCGCAAAGAACAGAATGACCTACTATTACACAAAACATGCTACAGCCAATAATATCTGTTCCTGCAAATATAAACATATGTAAGGGGAGTGCTGTCACTCACGGTAATGAATTTGTGAGCTGGGATCCTCTCCTGGCCTTCGGCAATACTGTAAAACAGCAGGTCTTCCAAGCTGGGCAGGATGCCAGCCTTCCTTCTCCTAAAACAAGAGAGAAAAGGGCATTGACATTGAGTGATCTGACCTTAATCAATGACTTCTACCATGATAGAAACTGCCACAATCTACAGTTACAAGACATATTAGATCAGCCTGGAGTGCATTTTAATGTTATGTGTTCAAATACACAATGAACTGTTAAAGGAATTTAGTTAGTTGGGGTTAAATTCAGAGAAAGATGGCCATGCAACAAAGATTAACAGAAAAAAGATTCGTTCAGTGAAGAGTTAAAGAGCCCATTACTTGATTTATTTTTTTGTGCTGACTATTTTCTTTTAAACAGAAACTTGGGACATATACAGCATATATATAAAATTACATGTATACGTTTAATATATTTTTCTAACAATTTAGAATAAAATAGAATATAATTTAATTATAATATTGATAAAAAATATTATTATTATTAATTGTATTGACAGTTCTAAAGAAAATGTAAATAAATTCATAAATGAATAAAATAATAATACTAAATAATAATAATATATTGGTAGGAAACAGTTATAGCCTAGTTCAGTAGAGAAAGACTGTAAATTTAATTTAAAAAACAATTCCACAATTATCACAAATATGCAACAGGTAAATATTTATTTGGGTTTTAAATTGTTACATAGGGGGAAAAATAAAATAGCTATTTATTGTTTTCATTAAAATATGACAACATATATTTTAACTGTGCTTACATCATGTTACTGGTCTTCAGCAATGTGCAAACGCATTAGCATTGCACAATACGCAAAAGTAGACACACTCTTGCCAAGATTTATTAAGAGCCGACCTAACTTAGCCATTGCATTATCACATTTAGATGGCTTTGAGTCTAATGGAGCTTTGCGTAAGCTGCTGCGGCACTGAGCCACAACAGAGTCTGGCCAGGACTGTAATTCACAGCACCAACGGCCCCACCTTCCCACCATGAACATTCCCAGAACTGAGACTTTCCTTTACCAAACGTTATTTACATTTGCTGTATTCATTTTCCTAGAGATTATTTGATTATGTTTCATTTGAACGCTTTTTTTAAATTTATTTAAATACACATCAAAGGCTGACATGGAAATGACACTGAAAATGTGATTTTGATCTTTTGGGTTAATTTGTGAGGATTATAAAACATAGGAAGAGAATTTGTTGAGAAAGGATTGATAGAGGTGAAAGACTGGAAGTGACAACTCAAATCATACTTACACACAAACAAACAGCAGGCAGAGCAATGAGGGAGAGAAAAACATGCAGAATGAATGAGAAACATACAATAAACAGATCAAAACAATTATGATAAACTTAAAACTGATCAAATATAATCAAGAATCTTTATTGATGTATAATTTAAAATTCAGTTGCTTATGTGTTTTAAAAAAAAATAAAAGATCATGTGAATTTACACTACCATTCAAAGTTTTAGGTCAGTAAGATTTTTATTTTTAAAGAAATTAATACTTTTATTCAGCAAGGGCAAATTAATTAATCAAAAGTGACAGTAAAGATATTTATAATGTAATATTTTACTATTTATAGTAAAATAAAAAGTTATTTTAAATTGTAACAATATTTCACAATATTACTGTTTTTACTATATATTTGAAAAACATTATAAAATCGTACCAAGCCCATCATTTTGAACAGTAGTGCATTTCTGATTGTGGCCTTATAATTGAGCATTATAAGGAATGTTCCAGGTTCAAAAAAATGCTGTTGATAAATTTGGCATAATGCTGATTATGACAGACTCACCTCGGCCCTTCGTTTATTGGGTCAGGAATGAATGAATAAATATATATTAGTAAATATATTAAAAACTGACACAGTAAACCACTTACTAAGAATTATTCAGTAAAAACAGTTAATTATTTTAACTAAAAATGTAAAAATCATCCTTTCTGAGGTGGGACTACTTTTTAAAGTGTTTGAACCTCTGGTTATGCGTTAATAATGTTGTGGCTGAATTCCTGTGGCTAAAGTTTCCTCCATGTTGACAGCGCTTTACAGCTACTTATGACTATATATGATATTTTTTACTGTATCATGCCAAAACACAGGGTTAACCTGCTAGTCCGAAGATGTGCCCGAGCATGCAAAATGATGGATGAGCTGACACCATGTTCTGTGCTAATCGACATTTTGCCACAAAATGCATCCAAAATAAAAGAACAATAAGTGCATGAAAAAGATAAATAGACTAAAAACAAGTTACACAACGGAACATCTAACAATGCAACCCACAAACAGCTCAAAAAGTCATGCAAAATCCACAATTGTCTGTTTTTCCAATTAAACTATACTATGCAGATACAGAGCTGATCAAAAATGACTTTCATTTCATTTGAAATGAGGTCACTTGAACTAAATAGTCAACAACCTGCGTTATGTGATAGAAAATCAATTGTGCGCTCATCAGGATTGTGGTATCAGCTTGCAGCAGAAACAGCAGGTCTGTAGTTCTCTCTAATGAAAGCGAAAGATCCATGAAAAAGGAAATGGGTGAATCATCGGCACTGGACCTTTGAGATCTAATTAGCAGCAAAGGTCTTTGGTGTTATAAAACAGCACGTCTGTCAGACTTCGGCCCATTCTCCTCTCCTTTCATCACTCGTCTCTCCGTCTCTGCAATATATATGTGTGATCCTCTACATAGGATTCCAGGGATTCTCAGAGAGCCTCATCACCCTCCTGCAGACTTAATAAAACAAACATTGTGCGCCTATTCACACACCACTGACAGCTCAGAGAAGACAGACCCAGCACGAAACCAAAAACCACAGGCTGTGCAGACACTGTGACCTGACAGCAGGGATTGTGGGTTTATTTTAAGGCAGCACAATTATTCAAACAAATAATAAATATTATGATTACAGCTGTGATTGTTGCGAAAAGCGACGCCCTACACAAAATACATATTTTAATTTACAGTTTATGAATCCAACATTTTTAATAAATTAAAATCAAAATAAAATTTGATAAATACTCACAAAATTAAGATTTTCAAATACAATTCTGAAGATTTTAAAATCCTGAACTGCCAGATAAAGATGTGGTCAGTACCAATAAATCATCAACTTACATTTTTTTTAACAACAAACAACTACCGAAAGTTAAATTGATTGTTTCAAGGGAAGCATGATCAAACAACGCATATGTAGGATGATCAAACATAGATCATTTTGCCTTTGTTGACAATTCTGCATCTTCAGCCTATGTCATGTCTGTTAGGTGAGGTGTCTGATTTAAGGCTTGTTACCAGCAGGGGTGTGAAGTAACGAATTACAAATACTCACATTACAGTAATTAAGTCGTTTTTATCAGTAATTGTACGTTTATGAGTAGTTTAAAAATTGTGTACTTTTACTTTTACTTGAGTACATTTTAAGTGATGTATCGGTACTTTTACTCCGCAATTTTCCTCCGTTTGTGGTCGTTACATGCTTATTTTAAT